GAAACAGTCCTCTGTCAAATACGTAAACATTTGGGCTACTTCTCTGGAATAATTATACTTTCCTGGTCATTTAAGTATTTAACGGGTCTCCAGAGTCTCCTTTTCCACGTCCCAGGGCAAACATTCAGAACTTTTATCAAACTGTGAATGTCTAAGTTTTCTCCTGGGAACAAAGAAGCAAGTCATAACCATAGAGTTATAAATGAGAAAAATCTCCTATAAAAATGGGACTTTAACTGTTTTGGGTTCAACTTTGCTGCAAAATAGTTCCTTTGTGCTTAGGCAAGTCCTTATGGCCTTTATGTGGAGAATGGTTGGGGAACTTTACATTAGCTGAGTTTGGGCAGATAATACCTTAACCAAACAAGCTATTCTGGCAGATTACACAGTATATGAACTTTAAAACTGTTGGGTTTTATGCATTTGCAACATCCTTTATRGTTCATTGTTAAAAACTTGAAGTCTGTAATAATGTTGCAGATAAATAAGGTGGTCAAAATGGCTTTAAGCTGGAATAATTAAGCAGAATAGATGTTTCTTCACTTTTATTTGGGCTGTAGTTATAAAGCTGTCCCATCACCACACAAGACCTAGAGCTGGTGCACCAGCCAGCATCACTCCTGAACCTGCAAGAAGGACTCTGGGATTTGTATCATAATACTGTGAATAAACATTCACATGGGCTAGGGACATTTTGTTGTACAGTGGCAGCTGTATGAAGTTACATGAAAGTATTGGCTAATTATTTGTATAAAGTCTGATATGATAATCAAAATTCAATGAGCCAAAGGGTCAAATTTACCTGTGGATGCATTTCCATGAAAGCCAAGAGAGACGGTGTCATTATGCCAAAAATTAATTTGGTGATTGGATAGTAATTTGTTGTCTCTTGCTTTCTCTGTATTCAGCTGGTTTATAGATTTTTTTTCTGCAGTGCAGGGTACTCTGAGGGTCTAATGTCTCTGTACAAAGCAAGTGTTCAACTTTAGGCCATCTTAAATTCTTACTGAAATTGTGTTTCCTTTTCTTTGAGACTGCTCAGCATTGAGAGAGAAGTGTACTTTTCTTACCAGTCAGAAATGAACATTCACCTTTATTGTTTGGGGTACTTCAGTAGTYCACAGCTGGAATTAATGGCAGCATATTTGTGTCAAGCATTTTAATGTAATGCATGATGCATCTTTATTTTAGCATTCCCACCTGGGGAAGAGCCCTGTTCTGCTAGGCACAAGATGGTTTGGGGTAGGGCAGAACTGTGACTGCAGCCAGAGTAGCTCTGGAGGACATGTGTGTGGTTTCAAGTAAATAGTAGATACAGGAGCATGACTAGAGAGTTGATATTTCCAGTAAATGAGAGAATAAAAATGTCATGAGCAATTTAAATATTATTTATAGTTGACCTTCATGTCTGTTTTTAATATTCACTCTGCTGAGTGTTTAAAAAAGCAATTAAAAGTCCCATATAATGTTAAAACCCTTGATAAATGTAATAAACAAATGACATATTCAAAAGAGAGAGTCTATGTCCCATTAGGAGAGAAAAAGAAAGATGAGAGCAACATATGGCAGTATAATTAGAATGATTAGGGAAGCACATCAACAGAATTTATGCTGCAGGGAAAATGTAATAAGAAACCAACACACTTTCCTCACTGCCTTGAAAACTGCAAATATTGCTCTCTGAAAAGGAGAAGATGCAGAAAGGGTCCCTGGCATTTAAAGCTGCAACTTGTGTTCTTCTGTCATTATTAAAGATGCACACAACCATCTGCAAACCATTTATTTTTTGCAGAGTTCACATTGTCCCATTGCTTTGATTAATAAGGAGCAATATTACACCTCAGCTGCTTTTCAGAAAGATGCTATTTTGGAAACCTAATTAATACTCATTCCACAGTTAGCTTGAGGTGTTCGTTAGTGCCAGATACTGAGTTCTTATTTGTTTCTCATTATGTGGAGAGTATTGCTTCTCAATGCCAACGTTTTTGTTTTGCATTTTGGAATAACCTTTCGACAGTCCTGCTTCCCACAGCCCTCCCTTCAGAAGAGCTAATAACACCTGTCATCATTATTTTCACATGCCTGTTAATGTCTGTTGAAGAYATTGTGGGCTATTTACATAGATAGTCTATCCTGATGCACAGCAAATATTCCTGCCATTTTCTGAACAGTTGGGCCAAAGAGAAAAGCAAAATTTAGAAACTTGGCAATGCATTTAAAATCTCAGCCTACCAATAAGGGTCCGTATATACTAGGCAATTTAATCATCACAAAATTGAAAGAGTGTGGCTTAGCAGGAGTACAAAAGAATTTTTCTGCCCTAAACCCCCCAGATGATTTAATAAACAAAACAGAAAATCTGTTGCCGAATACAGACACTGAACTTTTATAAACTCCAGCCCACTTTGATGAAACTGGAGATTAGCAGCATTTTACCAAGAGGCCTGCTGTTTAGTAGAGGGTGCACAAATATCCTGCTTGAGATTTGCTCCAAGTGCTGCTGTCCTCACTGGAGGATGAAGGAGAGAACACGGCAAAGCAGACGGCATTTAGCATCCACTCAGTTGCCAAGTGGAATGAAAAGGTTAAATGTAATTGCACATGTCAGGAACCAACAGAACAACTGAGGCTCTTTCTGGAGCTCGCTCTTGCACTGAGCTGCTATAGAAAAAAACCAAAAGGAATGAAAAAGAACATCTGTGGGTCTGGGCACCAACACGGGTACAATGGGAGAGGAAGAAAGGGGACTTTGAGAGACAGCATGTTTTAAATACGCCCTTACATTGTCCCCCCAGGGCAGCRCACAGACAATGCCTTATTTTACTGCAAGAATAAGGTCCCTCATGGAAAAAAAAAACTTGTCTTAAAAGAAATGAGGAGGGGAGCCCTGCACTGAGCCAGGGCCATTTTGTTGTACAGGGCAGCTGTAGGAAAGCAGACCYGCAGGAGCCCTGCTTGGGTCCCTCCCCAGGCACTGCAGCCTGCCCAGGCAGCTCTGGAGAGAGAGTGACAGCCACCCCGTGCTTCACCTTCTGCAGTAAAAGAAATGCTTCACCTTCTGCAGTATAAGAAATGCTTTTTTTAAAGGAGCAAAAGCTGCCAGCAGCCTGGCCCTTGATGTTGTATTGTGTTATAGGAGGCACAGATGAACTGGAAGTCCCTTCCTTACTGCCTGCCTGCWCTCTGGACACTGTGGGAGTCCCTGGCCCAAGCACAGGCAGGAGACACTCTGCCTGCAGCCCTGCCTTGGAGTCAGTGCTGGATGTGTTGGACAGCTTCGGTGAAATTACACCAACAGTGCAAGAATTAATGGTGATTTTTCAGCTTACATTCCTGGATAGAATAAATGATACTATGAGAAGACTGTGGGTAAGTCCTTGAAGACCTTCAACAGAAACAGAACAACAACAAAAGAAATCTTAAAACAAAAAAAAAAGGCAAGAAATCCAGTAATTAAATTGATAACAAGATAATAGAAGCTTTCCTGTACACTACACATTGTATTTCCCCAAAGAAAAGTGAATTGTCCACCAAAATCTGTGATCCTTCTCAAGCAAAATTCCTCTGACTTCAGTGGAAAGCATACTTTAGAAAAGATTTTTAAATCTTGACTCTTAATATATACTTAAGTATTATCTGATTTTGCACCTGGAGAAAAAAMAACATATAAACATTCTGAAAGTCAAATCCAGTTCAAACTAAATCTGGGTGGGGTTTTTTTTGCTATTATTATATACTCAGGTCCAACAGTCAACCAGAACCAGCGTGCTCAGTGATGAATTCTCTGAGCTCTTACCAGGTGCTTAGAGTGTTGCTTTTGAAATGCTGCAATTTCAAAGTGCTCAATACCTTGTGCTGGTATCAGATGTTATAAATCATGGCTGTGTTTTCATCTGCTCTCAGGTTCCAGACAGTTYTCCTCTGCAGCCTATGGGCACTAATAACCAGCAAAAAGCCATTAAAATCCAAAGTGCTTTATTAGCTAGCAACACAAAGTGTTGGTGAGGTTAAACACCAATGGCAGACTCACAACTTGGGAGTGCTGTGGCAAYGAGCARTTTAGTGAAGAGCCTGGTGCTGTGCCCAAGCAAAGCCGTGGCAAAGCTGGGAGCAGAGCCCAGCTCTTCTTGCTGCCCTTCCAGACCTAACTTGGGGCCACTCAAGCAGTTTCTGAAGAGTAATTTCCTTCTTTTTGTTGTTTGTGACATAAAAAGCTCTCAGTCCTCTAAGTCCTGTAGTGGCTTTTTTATAATTGAAGAGTCCTCCTTTAGTCCTTCTTGCACACCCTTGCTGAGCTGGAGTCATGGATCCTGTCTGCAGTGTTTCTGCAGAAAATGGAACCAAAGAGGACAGATACAGCGATACAGATGGAGGGAAAAAATAGCTCTCAAATACAAAGAAACACTTGTTGACAGATTCTCAGCAGGTCTTCGTGGAAGACCTCAGATTGAGAGTGAAATCACCATGCAAGGCATAGACAAAAAGCTCTGTGTTTTCCTATTTTTTTTTTTTTTTTTTTTTTACTAGCTCAACCCTTTGAAAGATACTTACAGCAGTGGAAAGTTAAAGTTAAACTGAGGGTAAAACCATATCAAAGGCAAGCAGTTAATACAAAATGACAGTGGATTCATTTAAAAATTTGCCATTGATAAAAAATCAAAATAATCTGCTAAGTGTGACTTWAAAGAAACATATTGTTCCTTCTCCACCATATTCCATTTTGTGCCATAGAGTTTGCATGATCTAACACATGAAAAGGCTGATATGARCCATGCTGACTTCAGCCAAAACTCTGGGGCTCAGACACAAGCTGAATTTGTGCAGCTTGCTGTGCTGTCACTCGCTGGCTCAGACTGTGCCAAGCATGGAGCAGGAAKGCTGTGACCTGTCCCTGCTGTGGGTGACGATGGGGACAGGGACACAAACATGCCTGCACTCCTTGGACTCCCAAACTGAAACCTTTCCCAACTCCTCCAGGTGATCTCATGTAGAGAGAAATGCCTTTGGCTGCTGCGACAAGGCAGCCTCAGACCAAAAGCAAGACAAGTATTTAAATGCCACATATCCAGGGAACACAGAAGAGTGTCTTTGCATCCTTCTCTAGACAATCACCTCTGCTTCCTTTGTTACTTTTTCCCTATCTACATCACTGCAAGTAACTCTACCAACAATGGTAAAAACTGCCCTTAACCAAAAGGTTCATTTTATGTGAACATTTCTCTACATGCCAGACAAACCCTCTGTACAATAGACAGTCTTGTCTAAATTAATGTATTATTTATTTTGTACCTTTTAAACCATTTTTATTTACAACAAGCCTTAGAGTACAGCTCACACGCAGTCGTTAAGTTCTGGCAGTACTGATGTCAGGGAGCTAACACATTTCTAAGTCATAGAAAATAAAAGAAAAAATTACTTTAAAATAATTGTTTTATCTCCGGGAACAAGGGTGACAGGACACATGTGTGGTGCCTGCAGAGCCCCTCGAGGGCCCTCCTGGGAGCCCCATGAGAGGGCAGAGCAGGACACACGGGGCCAAGGGTCAGTTCAGCACTCTGGGATGGGGCTCGGGGCTGGTTAGTGGCTCCAGTCCTCTTCCCKCTCACCAACTCCCTCTTCTTCTTCTGGAAACACTGAATCACTCTGACTCTTCAGGTGCTTTATCCCTGCAAATACAGAAGTCATGGTTAAGGCTGTGTTTAGCTTGCATCAGGTATTTTTTGTGAAGGAAGAAGGAGAAAACCAACATAAGTTTAATGCCCCTAGTTACTCCCTTTTCCACAAGCCTCTTAGTTCAAATCCTGCTGTGGAGAATTTAAACAGAAGTATTCTCTCCCTTGAATATAGGCTCAAAACAGTATTTGCTTCTCTTTTGTCTCTTGTAACCCTTGATCAGGTTTRTGTTGAAGAGCATTGCAAAGTTGTCCTGATGCAAAGAGAGCATTGCAGCTGAACAGAGAGGAGACCGCTGGCACCAAAGCTGTGACAAGATTTGATAGTATCTTACATGAAGAATGTATTCCTTTGACCTCCAAATGCCATGAAGGGATTTGAATGGATATGAATGGTATGAAAAGGATAAATACCTATCACGGGATATTTGGAAACTCAGGTATCAGGAGGATTATGGAGTACCTCCTGCTGGCTGGTTTCAGCCAACAAGTGAAGTAGACTCTATGAAAATGAATCAAATTGCATGTCCAGTACTCCAGATCTCATGTCCAGTACAAGCAAGCAGACCCCAATGAAAAGGCCTAATCCCATCCTCTCAGCTCCCCCTTGGTGTGATAAAGGAATTCGAGCTGGAAAAGGAAGCAACATCAAGATGAAAAGGTGACAGGGATGAGAGGCCAGAGATAAAGGGTTGTTATTTTCAAAAAAATCTAAAAAGTAAATGCATGAGATTAGTCTCTGGGTCCYTTAGTTTYTGACAAATAAAGTGGGAAGATAACTGTTCATCAAAAATGCATGATTTGAACAAAATGTAAGCCTGAATTAGGCTATTTTCTGGTTCCATTGCTGTCATTACATGAAAATATTTTTGATTTCATTAAANAAATGACACCCCAGCTGCTTTATATAGCCACTGCCACATAATCAAACACCCCAATATGTGCCCCGTGAGTCGTAGCACTTGTAGGGGCACAGTTTTCAAGGAAGGGTTCACTCTTGAGGGTTACAGGGCAAGATCCAAATTATTGCTAATTGTAAGTACAATTGATGATGGTGTATGTTCAAGAGTCCTGTCCCCAGTGTCACAATCTGGAAGTTCCTTACACTTCACTGTTTATTTCCACACCATTCCAAAATACAAGATAAATATTTTTCAAACGTATCACTTAAAAAAAAAAAAAAACCTAATTCATCTTAAATTATTCCAGTTCCACAGGATTACAAACCAGTTGAAACATTTGTTTCCATTTTACAATGGCTGTACAACAACCAGCTCCATTTCTAACGGGAGCCCATTACCCTGTGCTGGGCTCTTTGCTGCTCTCTCTTTCCTTCCACACAAATGGCAGCACATGGTCTCCTGGGAAACCATTCACACATAAACCAAGCAAACACATTAAAGCTCCCRAGCCACAGTTCTTGTGAGTGCACCCTGCAATAATCAAACCATTTCCAATCAAGGAGCTGTGATACATGAAGGYGCTCAGCTCCTGCCGAGCTCTTAGCAGCACCTCTTTAGCAACAGCCTTTAGTAAGACAAACACTTTAAATATGATTTCRCCTAACTATAGGTTAATGGACAYTTGTTTCMAAATTATGGTGTGTTTTTAAGGTAWATTTATCTCCTGTTGYTTCCTCTGAGCTTACAGAGCCATTTCTTGCACAATTCACAGTACCCATCCAGCAGCTGCTGTGCAGTACTTCAGACAGCAATTGCTAGAGCCAGCTCCCATTTTTTAGGGAGTTTTTTGAAGATGAGAAGGGGGAAGTCATGGACAGAAAAGAAGGCATGTGATACATGGTATGATGAAGCCATGGAATTGTATTTTTAGTAGGAATGAAGACTTTTGGTTATGTGGTTTAATTGCTATATTAAGTATGAAAATTGCAGGAAAACTGAGAGAAATGACATCAACGAGTATTGCCCATTGATTTTCACATAGCAAGTAGCTATCGATTTTATTTTAAGATTTTTTCATAACCTTCGTTCTGCAGCCTGCCTTCACCTCTGCCAGTCATTTTATGCTACTRTGCCACTTGGAAATTTCCTTCTTTGTCCAGTAAGTGCACAAGAGTTGATGTAGTTTTACACAAGCCTCAAGATGTTCTCACAGCATCAGGYTGTCAGCATGAACTGACCCTAGGTGAGGCCTTATGGAATAAGATGTTCATTCTACACAGCAGAATAACTTAGTGTGAATTGACATGCATGTAATGAAACTCCTGTCAGTGACATATGAATGACAGGAAAATGCTGGTACCTGCCCTGAAAAGATACATTTAATGCATGAAGCTGAAGACTTCTACAGTGAAAAAAATGGCCTGGAGTAATAAAAATATTTAGTTAAATGAGAGCAATCATACTCTGGATGAAAAGCATATCTAGCCACATAACATTGCAGAGGCCTACAGTGCCTGCCAAGGGTGGTCAGAAGGTGCTGGAGTTGGTCATGCCCAGGTGCACACTGGCACATTCAGCCTCAGCTCTAGACATCARTCTGCTACTGTGGCTCTCTAGCATGGCTCCAGTGGGGTAATTCAGGCTGTGTGCCCTGCCCTTTGTCAATATGAACTACAGGACAGGCAGGTAGTGAGGTGGAGCTCTACCCACAGAGGTGTATTGTTACATCAATCCAGCAGCTTTGCTCAGTAATACCTGAATTGTTTGCTGAAAGGTTACATTCTGTTAGAGACTGAGTAAAAATTCATTACGCAGGTGACCTCAATTGTCTTAACAACCACAACTCTGGCAATGTTGATTTAACAGGAAGGATATTTCCTTCTCATCTTTTCAATCTTCATACCAATAACACAGCTCTCACCCTCAGCTTCCTCAGCGAGTAATCAAGAAGCACCCAAATGCTGTAGTTTGGTGTTTATTTCTGTTCACTGAGTATTTTCTGTTCATGAASTCTCATCAATGTCCCTTTTTCCAGGTGATGGGTAACTGAATTTGTGGGCACCCTCACTTTTCTGAGGTGCTKTGGCTGCCCTGTCCTGACGCTGCATTGTTTCTCTCACGGGGTGCCAGCATCCCACTGTCCCCAGGGGCTCCCAATCCCCTCTGCACCTGCCCCAGCCACTGCTTCACAATGTCACACCCTGGCTGGGGCTCTGCTCTTCACCTGGGCTGTCTGACAGCAAAAACCCCTTCCAGACCAAGCACTGCCCCTTCTCACCGCTCCCTGTGGTGAGAAACGTTTCATACCTCACATACCTCAGCATGTTCAAACTCACCCTTATGACTTTAAAACAAAGTCTGTCTGAAACACTGCTAAAGCCAGCAGGACAAGAACTGTTTTTTCTGAAAGGGTTTATATTTCACTTCAGGTAATTTCCAATTAATGTTGATAAACATAATTGCAAGCCATATTGAGCAGATCTGCACTARTATAATTGGAACTGTCAATTCTTTTTAGATGAAAGAACTATTTAGAAGAATATTCTTCTATTTGGAAGAATATTTCTAGATTTCTAGATACTTATAAATTATGAATGYGAATGGGACAATTTTCTGGCATTTCTGTAGTCACATCACATCCGTGCTGCTTCATCAACACCTGTCTTTTTGCTTCTCTTCATCTAACTAAGACACCAACTTCGAAGGCTAAGCGGTGTCACAAGATTTGAAATAACCAAGTGTTCCTGAATTAAGTACCTCCTGGAAAAAAAAATTTAAAATATTCAAGTAATTAAACCCCATCCTATTTAACACTTCTTCCTTCACTCTGCTTCACTGCCCAAGGAAGGGTGTTGACATTTACGAAACTCAAGATTGAAGTCTGGTTGGCAGCTTGAATTCTGTAAAGTTTGAAGGGTTATTTAGTTTTATGATTTGGAGCTGATCCTCTCTCTATCAAAAACACATTTCCAGATTTGCAGAAAGCAGTGAAAGGTGCAGATAAAACARGCTCATTTTCAGCRTTTCAGAACTCAAATMAYTTTGAAATTATCATGCAAACAAACATGGCCAAAGAGGRTAACAGCCAAATAAAAATSTCTCAGCCAATGCTATATGAATTATTTTCTGGTTCCYTCAGCAAAAATGAGAATATCAAAAGAAACATCATATACTCAAAGCTCTAAACAGAAAAAAGGACTATTCTTTTTCAATGGTACATTTTGGTTTGCATTTACCCGTCAAATATGTTTTGACTTCTCAGATATGTCATCCTCATAATTTTTTCCTGACTTAAGTTTTGATTTAAGATATGCCAACAAAGCAAACAGAAAACACAAAACCAAACAACCAACCAYGACCACCAACTAAAGAGTAAGAAACCCATAAATTAATGTCATTAAATCCAGCACCCATCACAGGTTTTGGGCTGAGCTGGGTGCAATGAGGGCAGCTGTGAAGAGCCAAATAAAGCTGGCAAGTCTCCCAGGGCAGCCTCCTCCATGTGTAGGTATGGCCCCTACAGATAGAGGAGAACAAGCAGCTGTATCACATCTGGGCAGCTTTGGGGCATCTAGCAGCAGCCTGCCTGTACCAAGGGAAGCTCCCCAGAGGACAGTGGTGTCTGGTTGGGAATTAGAAGAGAGTTTATTCTGACTGCATATAAGGAAGAAATTTTTCCCCTGAATGTGGTTTCCCAGTTTTCCCAGTCTCTTTTCAAGGAGATTTTCAGTACTGAACTAACAAAAGCAGTGAACAACCTTGTTAAATTTGGTGTTAATTCTGCTTTATGCATCAGGTTGWATTATGGACTTTCCCAAGGTTCCTTGCAGCCTAAATGACTATATGGTTTTATGAAAGCAAAACTCAGTAAACCCATCTTACACTTTATAATAGAGCACTAACATTTACTGTGTGGGCTACATATTGATCCACCTGGGAGCTTCAAATACTCCATTCTCTGGAAAAGTGATGAAGTGTCTAACTGCACCAGTCAGACTGATTCCAGGAATGAGATTCCTCTTCCTTCCTTAAAAACCAATAAAAATCAATACTAAATACTAATACTAAATCAATACTTCTGTACTAATTTTG